GACATCTGGCAAAATGAGGGCGTCCTCTTTTTTTGCCCTCATGTCCTCAATTCAGCAATCATAAAATCAAATATTTTCCAGCTTTGGGGGGGATTTTTTGGACTGTTTTCACAAACTTTCATTTATCGCAAGCTTGCCTCATTTTTCCCATCATCTGCCGACAGATTCAGCGGCCTAGATTTGCACTATTTATTTTACTTCCCGATTCCATCAGTCAGCTTCATTCCAACCCCTTCAACCCAATCTTTGTAGTCTGTAGATCACATGATTCATTCTGTTTCAATGGTAAAATTTGGAGAGTGCATTGTTGTTAACTCTACATTGTCACCAGCATATGCTCTTGAAAATAAAAGTTTGTTGGAAAAATATTGCAATTGAACAATCAGTCTTTCTGATGCTGAAAAAAATAATGTTCACATATATGTAAACCCAAGTATATTTTTTGCAGTTTTTCATTGTAATTTTTGTTGCAGACACCAAGAAAGTTAAACAGATAGCGTGCCCATCGTTTGTTCTTCTTTCTAATTGTCTATGTCCTCGGCTGCCTATTCAGATACCCGGTAACCCTATCCTGATAGTAAATCACTTTCTTGCCTCTCCTGCCTGTTTGAAGTCATTGCGGTTATCAGATTTCCCCAAAAGATAATAACAAGCTTAACAGATTTCTACACTTTCAGCCTGCCCTTGGATGGTGCTGTCATAATGTAAATAATGGCTTAAGCTTGTCTTAGTCAGAAGGTTAAGATGAAGACAATATTACAAATCTGACAAATAAATTATGGGGGTACAACAGAAAAAAGACACTACCAAGACATGTTTACAAGTGGAGAAAGATACTCCAGCTAATGTAAAAGCTGCCAATTTTACAGAGGAATTTCCCTTTAGAAATCCCAGCATAAAATTAGTCAATTGGAAGTGATCAAAATGTTCCATACATACATCATTTATGGCATAGTGTCATTTTCTCTTACACTATGGATGTCAGAAGCAAGCTACATCCCATCTTACTCATAGCACATGTTTAAACATATTTTAGTCACAGCACATGTTTAAACATGTTTTAATGAAAAAGCCGATTCCTAATTTGGAATATGTTAATTCTGGATTCTACGCTTCCCTCTCCATAACCACAAACAGTAGTTTCAAGAAAAATAACACTGGGAAATGTTTTCTCTAAAATTAAAAATGATGCAGCCCCATCCCAAATTAAGAGCAAGTTTTAGAATAAGATTGTCAGAGTAAGCATACTTATTTCTGCAAAGTAAAAAAAAAAAATCATCAGAGTAAGCACTGTTTTATTAAACACATAGTACCATATATATTACACTACATTAAAGCATGATTTATTTTAACCATGCTTTGTTGGTTTAAACAATGGTCAAGTTCAAAAATGATGCTATACCGTAATTTATAAATCACACCAGTTGGGCGTATGCAATACATTAAACTACAATAAGTCATATTAGCACAATACATACAATCAGTCATTTTTCATTCACATATATATAAATATAGAGAATGCTTTCCACAGTGTCTGGCATTTGTTAGGTTTTGGCTTAGTTCATAGAATGATTTCAGCCCTCATGGCTGACAGCAGTGTTTCCCATCATTCCTGCAGAGCTAAAGCAACTGGATCCCAATTACCCCCTTCCTCCAGAGACAACAGGAGGAAAGGGAAACGTATTCCCCATAGCAGGTCCTTTCCTAGTTGCTGCATGATGTCTGATATCTTACTGTAATCCATCAGAAATAACATCTTTTCATCATTTATTGGCAAAGGCTAAAATCAGCTTCAAGTGAAGATTGGAGAATCTGCGGCTTTCTGGATGTTGCTAAAACTCTGAGCAGACTCAACCAGCATGAACAATGAGGGAAAATAGGAATTATAGTTGAGCAACATCTATATACATCTATTCTATATATATATATACTAACATACCATACATACATACACACACTCCTACATACATACATACATACATACATATATAATCAATTAGCCCTGTACAGATAAAACCTTCTGAACTGGAGCCACTTTTATGACTGCAAAAAATATAAGGGAGGTTAATCCTGGGCAATAAGCAATACTTAAAGGCAGGCTGTATTGTGATCTTGTACTTATTTAGCAATAAATATCAGTGAATTGAAATGGAAACGGGCTGGTCACATAGCAAGAAGAACTGAAGGCAGGTGGACCAAGGCAGCCTTAGAACTTCAAAACTGGGTAAGGCTCTCCATTCCAATAGAATAGAATAGAATAACAGAGTTGGAAGGGACTTTGGAGGTCTTCTAGTCCAACCCTCTACTTAGGCAGGAAAAGCTACACCACTTCAGACAAATGGTTATCCAATCGCTTCTTAAAAACTTCCAGTATTGGAGCATTTACAACTTCTGGAGGCAAGTTGTTCCACTGATTAATTGTTCTAACTTTCAGAAAATTTCTCCTTAGTTCTAGGTTGCTTCTCTCCTTGATTAGTTTCCATCCTCTGCTTCTTGTCCTGCGGTCAGGTGCTTTGGAGAATAGCTTGACTCCCTCCTCTTTTTTTTTTTTTTTTTGGTGGCAGCCCACTTGATAAAAAGCATCCACGAAAGAGACCTAAAACAAGATAGATCATTGCTGGCTCAATTGTAAAAGGAAAGCTCAGGACCGTATTGGTTGGAAACCTGCGGAAGAGGCCTTTATCCTGCAGTGGATAGACAATGGCTTGGATGATGATGATTAAGTACCAACGAAGTCGGTGAGGTTCATTCCTGAATAAACCCCCAATATAGGTTTGCACAGCTCGGCTGCAACCTTGCCTATGCATATTTGGGCATAAGTTCTTAATAGTGGAGACAAGCGCGGGCAGAACTGCGCAGTGAGCGGGCATTCCCGAAAACCACAGCCTCCCCATGTTGCAACGAAAACGGGGCGCCGCATCTGCCCTCCACCGGTCCACGTCCGGCCAGGGCAAAGGGCGGAAACCTCCCGCCACCCTCCCTGCGCAGTAGCAGCCTCCAAGAAGCCACGTGCGCCTCAGCGTCGAAGCAGGGAGTGGCCCGGAGGTGGCGGCCGGCAGAGAAGGCGGGAGGAGGAGAGAAAGGAGGGACCGGGGACCGCGGCCTCGAGTTACCGCTCTCCGCACAGAGCTCGCCGCGGAGCATCAGCCGGACGCCGCATTGGGCTGCTATGGAGGGCGCCAGAGCCCGCCTTGGCTTCCAGCAAAGCCGCTGCCCGTGAATTGTCTCTCTCTCTCTCTCTCCTCTCCCCCCTCCAGCGCTCGCGGGGCGCTCTTTTCAGCGAGGTGAGTCCACCCATCGTGGAGGGTGGCTGGGTGGGACATGGAGCGCCCCTTGTCCGCAGCCACTTGGCGGCCCCTTTTGGCGGCTCAGAAGCCGGAACGCGGCAACTCCGGATGGCTTCTCCATGAGAGACCTTTGGGGGCGGGGGGGCGGGAGAGGAGGCTCTCCTCGAAAATAAATTGGGGCGGGGGTGGAGTTACTAATCAGTGTCTCGCGCTGGGAAAACATCTCAACACCGGGGGGTTCGGGATTTTTTATGCATGCCATCCTGAAGTCCCCCCCCCTTTTTTTTTTCTTCAACGAGTAAAGGACATTTATTTTTCTTCCTTGGCTTTTGCGTTTCCTCTCTCAAGGCGGCGGCGGGGAGGTGGAGGTGGTGGTGGTGGTGGGGCGGCCACCCGGAGGAAACCTGGCTCCTCTTTGGCCTTTGCCCAACCTCAGCCTTGGCTGTTCTTGGGAGCCGGGAAGCCGTCCCCCCTTTATCGCCTCGAGCCGTGCCTCTCGTCTGCCCCCCGCCTGACGTGCCACAAAACGAGCGGCCCGTTATTTCTCCCAGGAGAAATGCATCTCTCCGCTGGCGCGTTGTTGCTCCGTTTGGGCGGACTCCGTGGCTCCCTGGAGGAAAACTTTTCAACAACGACCGGTCCCTCGTCGTAGTTAACTTTTTTTCCCCTAGACTCCGCTTTCAGCGAGGGAAGGAAACGGCGGCTGGGGCGGGGGGGGGAGAAAGGACGAGGGTGGCGGCCACCTCTTTTGCTGAGGCTGGGGACGGCGCGGGACGTTTCCCGCCGCTGCCGACGACGCGTCTTTGCCGGCAGAAGCGACGGAGGCAGAAGTGGAAGCCGAAAAAGTTGCAGTTTCAGGGCCGGCAACAGCGCTAGAAGGGGATAGGAAGGAGTGGAAAAGTTGCAATGCGTAGCTTTAGTTTCGGGCGGGCTGATTTGTACTCGGCTCAATATGACGCCTTCGTAATCTCGCTTCCTTACTGTAAACCTCTGGCAGCTGTGGCTGATGGGAGAGGTACTCCAATGTCGGATGGGTTACACAGGATCTAAGAGAACAATGAGTTATGTAAAGCACTCCTCTTGATATAATCCTCTATCTATCTATCTATCTATCTATCTATCTATCTATCTATCTATCTCTCTCTATCTATATGTGTGTGTGTGTGTGTATCTGTTAAAGATGAAAATAGAATAGTGCTGCCAACTCATATTGAATAGTTATTGTCATTCCTGGGAATGGGAAAAGGGGGAAAATGGAATTATTAGGGCAATGTTAAATAGCCCTCACATTTCCAGCGACTGTAGGGAGACAGAAATAGGAAATATTAACTAGCCAATGGAAAACTTTTGGATTCTATTTTTCCTCATCCTCAGCTAATGTTTGGGGTTTATGGGAACTGAAGTCCAGTATCATCGCAAAGGCCTTATATTATGCTTCTTGCTTTTCCCAAGGATGTAGTGGAAATTAAGATAAAGCGGGACTTCAGGAGTGGTGGAAAATTTACTGTGCAACTGTCCTGCCTTCTTCATTTAAAATTATAACCTTACAGTTAATCTGGTAATAAAACTCATTAATTATCTATTTTGAATAGGCATGCAAAGGATTGTGCTTTTGGAACATTTCATTCCAACACTCCATTGCAGTCTTTTAACTGTTGTTTACAAACTAAGATAACCGTATCTAAGAGGTAAGCCATCACTTTATTTATGCGGTTTCCTAATTTGTGAGAAATACTACCCTAATGAATAGATGGATGTGACTGAGTGAATGAAAAGCCTTGAGGTAACCAAGTCTGATTGTTTTCCTTTCACTTAAAAAATAGTTTCTTGACCTATGTAATGGAGTTTTGTTTTTATTCTTGTTGATATGAGATGGGTGTTGGCTGCCAGCTTTTCTTTATCGTTTGTAAATCCATTAAGAAAACTGAGCATACTGTAAAAGCTCCCATATGCACGCTAATGTTTTATTCCTTTTGGAAGGCAAGCTTACTTCATGTTGTAAAACAAAAGATTTTGAATTTTCAATTTAGGACATATGTTTTTGATAGGCTTATTGGCAGGTTTCAATTTTTATAACTCACTGGAACGCAATAGAAAAGGCTAGTAGGGCAGCGTTTTATGGGTATTTTATCTGTTTTGGGGGGCAGGATAGTGAGGACATTTGGATTTTTTTTCAAATTGTTACAGAGAAAAAAACTGGACCACCAAATGACTCCCTGGATGAACACAGCCATCACAATTGTCAGTTTTTCCCTTATTCTGTATGGACCTACCTGATTGTAAGATTCAAAATTGGAGGAAGTGGGACTGCTGGATTTTCACCTTGCAGCTCAAGAGTCAGTAGACTCCCAGATGAAGTTCAGGAAAAAGAGCCTTTTGAAGGATGAGCCTGCAATTCTGGAACAGTCAAGTAACCAGCCTCTCCTCTTGCAGAAGCACAGCAGTCTACTGAGTCACCTGAAGTAGACTCTGAACCCAAAAAGATTCTCACACATGTAGAAAGGTCAGGTGAGTGCAGCCACTCCTCATTTAGCAGCAACTATTCACAAATATGATGGTAATAAGGGGGAAAAAAATCCATTATGACCAATGCATTCATTTACGGCCAAATTTTGTGGGCCTGACAACAAAAGTGTTCAGTATAAAACCGATTCAGGCCGCAGCACCACCCAGGAGAGGGTTCTACTCAACTAATTAAGGTCAGGGACCTGAGTTGGTTAGCTTGTAATTAACACTTTTTAGGGAGAAAAGCAGCTCAGGAAGAGATAGCTTGTCTAAGCAGTTGACTCTGCCCTGCGAGGGGACAAAAACAGGTTCAGGCACAGGAAACTCTGTGAGATAACTTTGTATGAATCAGACGGCAGCAACCAGTGATCTTTGCAGCATCTCTCTCTCTCTCTCTCTCAGACACGTCAGACATGTGTTCATATAGTGACCATTTTGCTGAATGAGCAAATTGTTAGAACAGATAGTGGACACTAAATGAGGAGAGGGTGTAGTTGTTCAGTGAGCCAAGAAATCTCATTGGCTTAATGAAGAAAGAGGCATGACACAGAGAAATGGACACATGCTATAAAAGAGGGCTTTTTTGAGAGTCAGACTTCTGTAGGTAAATAATTTTCCAGCCTTGGACTTGACTTCCTGATTGTCTGCTCCTTTTGATTCTGTAACTGTTCTGTGAACTAGTACAAGACTCCACTCAGGTCTGATGCCTTGGTGTTAGATTTGCCTGCATGGGAACTCTGGCTTTTGATGTTGGGTGGCTATTCTCATCTTCCTATACCGGCTTTTCTTCTTCTCTTCCTATATTGCCACCATAAAAACTTCTTTTTTATTTGTTAGCACAGGACACACTTTAACGATCCTATCTGTCTTTCCAACAAACTCCCAGCTCCCTTTTAATCTTTTTTCTCTCCTTTCCTCTTCCCTCTTCCTTTCTTTCCTGGGCAAGCTTCTAAATATAGCAGTGGACTGTATCTACCTATCACAATGATTTCCTATGTTGCTTCTGAGCCCTATGAAAAACTATTAAAAACTTCTTTGTTTTTTTAAAAAATCTCATTTTTTTTCTTAGCACAGGAGCAGAAACTTAGTAGGCACCAAGAGAGATGTTTGGTCTCATTGCAGTGTATATCACAGAACTAGTTTTCTTATTGCTATTTTATTGGGCATCAAGGACTTGGTTTGATTTCATACTTCCTTAGTGGCAGCATCCGTTTGCAATTAAGTAAGTGTTAGATGCGAAAGACCAGGTTCACAAGAGAAGGTCCCAAGAAGCTGATTTATTGCTAAAAGCCTTTGGACTGAAATCTTACTTAACAATTGGCGCCTGGTTAGAGTTAGATAAGAATTACCGGCACTCAAGGGGGTTGCACATAGTTTGCTTGTGGCTACATAGGAATTCTAGGCTGATTCCTCTTTTCACCCTGCCACCAGGTTCTGCCATTTCTTCTATATTAACACATGCATCAGAGTGTCTCATGCAACATAAGGAAGCTTAGAGAAAGAAGCTGACATTCGGTGACATTGATTAGGCTGGCATGCTTCAGCTCCTGGTAAACTTGCAATATTCTCTTTATAGACTAACATTGGTCATTCATCTTATTTACTATGAGTCTTTTACAATAAACAATAGACACATTCATTTGTATTGACACATCCAGAGCTGGAAGATGAAGCTAAATTTGGTTTTAAAAACTAGTTTGTGGGCCTATTTAGGATTGGAAACATAGCTCTTTTAAGCACCTGTGGTTTGTGAATCATTTCCTTTTTTTTTCTGTTGTTTTTAATCAGTCAGAACACACTGATGTTTCTTCCTGCTTTTCCGTTCAGTTTATTGTAGCTTGTGTACAATTATTTTTCTACTCAAGGTGGAGCAAAGTAATTGTCTTATATGAAAACTAACTTTTATTTATTTTTATACTGCCTTTATTATTATTTTAATAAGTAACTCAAGGCAGTGAACACTCTTTCCCCCTTCTAACTTCCCCACAACTATGACGTGAGGTGGGTTGGGCTGAGAGAGAATGATTGGCCCAAAATCACCCAGCCGGCTTTCATGCCTAAGGCAGGACGAGAAGAATTCAGTCTTTTGGTTTTCAGCTGGTGCCTTAACCACTAGACCAAACTGGCTCACATTTCAGTTAGTGTTAATTTCCCCTGAAGTCCTTGGTTTCAGATAGAGCTTTTTCAACTTCAGGCAGAAATGCCAGCAGCTGAATCAGTTGCATAGTACACTGTTCTGAGATGGGGTTCTTTCTTACAGGTGTAGGAGAGATTGGGGGGAACCTGAGAGGGGAAAGGAAGGTATAGCCACCCAGGTTTCAGTTGACAGCTTCTCTCAAACTACAACTCACCCCAGGTGAAGAGAAATCTGTGAAGATGTTGCTGAAAAGATTCAAAAAGTCTTTATTGCAGTTACTGTATTTTTTGCACTATAAGATGCTCCAGACCATAAGATGCACCTAGCTTTTGGGGAGGAAAACAAGAAAAAAAAATCTGCCTCTGCCTCCCAGCATCCATCGGTATTCATCTGGCTAGCGTCCTTGCAGCAAACAGCCTGGACAGCTTCACAGCCTGATTTATCACAAGCAGCTGATTGGTGATTGGATTGGCGTCCGGGAATTCTGCCGATCAGCTGTTCCAAGGTGTGGGGATCACTGCCACCTATTGCTGTCTCCGTGCGTCCTGTTTTCAGCCCCCACGTGTCCTGTTTTCAGCCTCCGTGCACTCCGTTTTTGGCCTCTGCGCGTCCCGTTTTCAGCCCGTTCCAGGCAGCAGGAATCACCGCCAGCAGTGAACAGCGGTGGCGGTGGCAGTACCCGCTGCCTGGAACAAGCCGAAAACAGGATGCGCGGACGCCAAAAATGGGATGTGCGGAGGCTGAAAACGGCCCGCGGGTGGGGGCTGGCAGGTGGGCGGGACTTCGGCAACATTCGCTCTATATGACGCACAGACATCACCAACAACTTTTGGTGAGGGGAAAGTATGTCTTATGGACTAAAAAATACGGTAATTCAGTATACATGAGGCTGAGAAATTGTTATTAACAGTTTTCAAGATTCTGTACTTGCCCCAAGATATTTTACAGATAGTATCTTGACTCATGACAGTTTTGGTCCCTGCCAATTATGGTTGTAAATTGTGATGGTTGTAAAGCGAATCATTATATAATCAACCCAATTTTACAATGTTGTTGGGTTTTTGGGTTTTTTTGGAAATGGTCATTAAGTGAATGTGGGATGCTGCAAATGGCTGTAAATTCAGGCTGTTTGCCAAGCACCCAAATTGTGGTCATGTGTTATGTTGGAACTTTGGAATCAGGTCATAAGTACCTTTTGTACAGTTAATCTTCAAGTTACAACCAATTGCTCAGTGACTTCAAACAGTTGTAAATTGAGGACTAGCTGTGCAAAATTCTGTGTATCCTTGTATTCTTAGTCTTGCTCTGCTCTGTGGGGTTTGGCAAGGTTTTGTGTCTGTTTTACAACATGTTTTCATTGTCACCCCTTTTGATCTTCCTTCACAGAAACACAAAAAGAATATCTTATTGTTAAGGAGGAAGCTGGCAAAGCAGGAAATAGGATGTCTTGGAACAGAGATGTCTGCTTTATAAATAATTAGGGGATGGTCAAAACAGAAAAGCCCCCCACCTATTCCCAAGAGTAGCTATGTGTCTTTTCAACAAAGTTGCAAGAAAGAAATCCAGGGTTTAAACACACCTATAAAAAGAAGTAGATCTAGTGGTGGATTGCTACCAATTCGCCCCAGATCGGGCGAACGGGTAGTGGCAGCGGTGGGAGGCTCCGCCCAGCTGCCTGAGGAAGGCATTGTGCGCATGCGTGCCCAAGAGCAAACCAGTAGCAAACTAAATTGAACTAAATTGAAACTAAATTGAAACCCACTACTGAGTAGATTCTTAAACTTTGTAGACTGTAGTCCTTATTATTCTCTCCATGTTTCATCATTTGCCTTTGTGAAAATTTCAAGGCGGCATTTTTAATTCTTAGACGAAAAATGTATTACCGTGGCTTGGATAAAAGCCTGACATCTATGAATTTCTGCAGGTTATTCCTATTTATGCCGGGGGGGGGGGGAGAACTGGTGTGAAAGTGTGATTCCAGTGTAGCTTTTGCTGATAACTCCATGAATAAATATTTATTGAATTTTAGTGAGATCCAAATTTGGAGGGAATATCTCATTAGCTGAATTTTGCATAACCCTTACATCCTACAAGAGAAGTTTGTAAAGGCCCATTTTACATTGGTCACAACATCCTATACTCACCTGATCGCCATTTGACACCTTCACAAGGCTTCCAAAAAAGCAAAAACCACAGGGAATACAGCAAGAAGTCACAAGTTGCAGTCACATGACATTGTACTTAATGTCACTTTAATAACCACAGCAGAACTGACATTGTAGTTGAGTGTGACATTGTAGTTGAAAGTCACAAGACTTTCCCTCTACAATCGCACAACAGTTCCAATTAGAGTCTGTAACTGTGGCTATATGTTTATTACCAGGATAATTTTTTTAAAGAAACTGTGAAAGGTAATGAGGTTTTACCAACAGTGATATCCAAAGCTATAAAGATGATAGTTTCACCCCCATCTCATAAATGTAGAGACAAATTTTACATTTTCTCTCCATTGAGGCTATCTAAAACAGTGGCCTCCAACCTTTCTGGTGCCAGGGACCAGGGTGGATTTGATTTAAATCGAGTTGATTTAAATCACGATTTAAATCGAGTTGATTTAAATCACAATTTAAATCATGATTTAAATCACTAGTAAAAAGGCTTGATTTAAATCAACTCGATTTAAATCATAATTTTTAAAGAGCAACTGTCCTCTCTGCTACTCCTTTGACCCACTGTTGACTCACTGATAGTCCCAGTGTTGCAGAATATACAGCCTCATGCTACCTAACTAAGCTCCATTTCATGCTGAATAAATTAAATTATTTATGTATCTTAAATAGAAAACTATCTTAGGTAGATTTTTACC